TGTCATTTTTCTCTGAAAATAATATTGTAAATAATGGTGATTATAGCATGATACGTATTATACTGGGGCACTTTTACTTACACTAAAGACCTTTCCTATATATTTTAATAAACATTTTCAGAAAAAGCAAAAAAAAAATAATAATTATACAGCTTTGTGGCTGAGGAGATAGCTCAGTGGTCTAAGTACCTGCCTGGCAAACATAGAGTCCCAGATTCAATTTCCAGCATCTTGGGCCGTGCAAGCCCCAGAACCTTGCTGGTGACCGAGACCAGGTGTGGTGGCGTGCACCAGTAATCCCAGTGCTAGGGAGGCTGAGACAGGAGGATCACTCTGGTTCTGAGCTCCATAGTGAGACCCGGTACCAAATACATAAATAAAAGAATTAAAAATAATAATTACAGATTTGCTATACTGTTTCCATTATCTGATCTATAGTTTTCTTATCTAAACAATGCGCACAAAGGATTGAAAGATTAACAAACGTGTTCTTTTATTGAAAATATTATGAAGTATCATCTGTATTTCACTTAATATGAGCAAAGGCAAATATTAAATAACTAATTATAATATAGGTTTTAAACAATTTGCATTTATATAAATATAAGCAAATAACAGTTAATTTATTTCAATCGGCAAATACACTGAAAAAATGTGCATATCTGGTACTTGGGTGAAGTTTGTGAAATTGTTGCACATGCAAATCATAATTTATTTTGCTAACTAAAACTTCAAGTTTCCTATGTGTATATTCATAGTCAGCTGTAAATTTCCAGTTTGCACTTCAAAAAGAGAATAGGGAAATATAAAAGGCAGTCAGTCCCTGTAATGTGCCACAGAGCCCAAATGTAATTGCCTTATTGACATTATGATAAATTTACTTCAGAAAGTTCGAATAAACATCTGCTATCTCCACTCACAAATGTGTTCAACCATTCATGCGTCAAATGCCTATCATGTTTCAGGTAAAAATAATTTATAGCACAATTATAGTCTGTCTTTCGGTGTGCTTAAATGTGATACTGAGAAACAGTTTATTAATACAATAAAGTTTGTAAGAAAATATTTAAATGTGATGAAGAAATATTAGTCATGTATACTTTTAGTTTTAATGAAACTTTCAGCTTTTATTATGTGCTCACCTTTTTTTAAATCAAACCACAGACTTCTTATAAGATCAACTTGAAGTGCTAGTTGATTAATGTATTCACAACAATAAAAAGAGTGGAAGATGCCAAAAGTACATCAACTTTTTGAAATCACTGTGAGAGCTGGCACAGGAGAAGGTTGCTAACTATCCTTGCTGGTAAAGAAATCCATGACAGACTGACCAGATATGACCTAAAGAAGATGCAGATTCCACTCAGACTTCCCAGTGACTCCAATTTCCATTTCCTTGATCGGACAACACAGTACCTGGATACTGCCCTTTTCCTTAATCATAACACCCCCCAAAATTAAAACAAATCTCATCAGAAGTTACCCAATGTTAATCAAAAGTTATTTTCCTACTGCTTGATCTCTTTATCCCATCTTACCAGGGAGAAAAATGTTTGAAATTATCCATCTACTTTTTCTTATTTCTGTTTTTGTTTTGTTTTGTTTTTTGAAGTCTTTGATGGTCTATAAAAATAACTTTTGTTCAACTCGTCTTGACATTTATTGTGGTTTATGAACTGACACGTTGACTGACTCTAGCATAAAAAATAAAGCCAAACAATATCTTTAAACTAAATTGCTATGATTGTGTCCTTTGAAGCTACCTTTTTGTGCACTTGGAATGGTTTCCTTTGTTTACTCTTATGCTATTAGATTTAATTCCCAGGACCAAAATTTGTTTGCACTGTTGGCTTAACTCCTTGACATCTAAGGATTAAGAAAATGCAGCAAATTTCTGTTCCCAGAGCATTTATGTTTTATGGAATAACCAGTAAAATAGCTCACTTTACTCCTATTTCACCCAACAGGAAACTGTATTTTCCAATTGGTTTGGATGCTTCTGTAACCCAGATGTCAGCCGAGGTATACTTTCTTTTGAGCTTCAAATAAAAACGCCAGCTTTCTTATGCCATGTTTGGAAAGACAGAGGCAGGTGCCAACCTTTCAGATTCACATCTGCCTAAGAGCTCTGCCTTTGATGCATTCCGCAGTGAACGACTCATATCACCCAACCTATATAATAATGATCACACTATAGAGGTAATTTTTAACCAATTCTTTAATTTCAAATAAAAGGCATAATGGAAGCTTTCCATTAAAAAGTATAAAAAAAACAAAAAGAAATCAAAGTAATGGAAATGACATTGCATAATTAGAAAACTACAGTAAAATAAAGCCAACCTATTCCAGCAAAGTGAGCTTCTCTCTCTTCGCCTCTCTCACTCACTTTCTTTCTCTCCAGCCATCCTGCTTCTGGATGAGTCCTCTGCACTGTTCTAACTATTTATTTACTGTACCCTGCCAATCTATTTTCACAAAATTTACTTTAACGAAATTAGTAGGCATCTTAAGGTAGCTGCCTATAATGTCTAGTGGCTGTGATGTCTGTTTAATTTTCTTCAAAAGCCATTATTGAAATATATATTCTCAGAATTAACAAAGTTAGATATTTCATTCATTTGATGTGCACATATAAGAAACATTACAAAGCAGTCACATAGGAGATTATTATACACTGTAAATTTGCAAGAAAATAAATTTAAAAAGCAAACTCAATACATGCATCTTTAGGTAGTTTAAATTATAGTGATCTTCCAAGCAAACAACCCATTTCATTTCCTGAGTTCCACACCATCTGCATTAAAAGCAAATAAAGGTCATACCACATTCCACCATAATATGAGATGTTAAAACTACAATTTCAAACTAAATGTGATCATATATCTTCTTTAATTTTGAGGAATTTAGAGAAATAAAAGAGAAGGAAGGTTGGCAAATGCTTATGTGGAGAGATGGAAGCTGGCAGATCTTGGTGAGAAAGCCTGCATTCAAAACCAAGTTTTGGGCATGAGTCAAGATTGTAGTGTTACAAGAATGCATTTTGATGAACTGGATTCTTATTGTGAAATTTCATTTTGCATAAAAGCATAAGGCGTAAAATAAGGGAATCAAAATGTGTAAGTTCAATGGTGGCCAAAATAACACACAAAGTCAGTAAGTGGCAGAGATCTGTTTGGTATTCTTTTGGTAGCGTTACAAACATGAGTGAAGAATATATTATCCAGCATCAAGTTAGTGGTAAATGTTCCCATACCATACAACACAGATGAACCTGGAGTACATTATGTTCAGAGAAATCAGCCAAATACAATAAGAGAAACACTGCATGATGGTAATTCATACGAAAAATCTAAAACAATGAAAGATAGAGAAGTAAAGTTTAATGGTACTTGCCCTCAGGTAAGGGCATGGGATAGAAGGAATAGTGCTGCATGATACTATTCATACAATAAGTCTAAAACAATAAAAGATGGAGAAGTAGCATTTAATGGTATTTGCTTTTGGTTAAGGGCACAAGATACACAAATATATAAGATTGATGTAGTATAAGACTAATGTGACATAGAATGTGCCTAAGGAGAGCCACATGGAGAGAAAACATTCTCTTAGGCTTTCACAGAGAGCAAATTGGTCAAGCAATGGCCATGACTCATCCACATGGCTGACACTGACAAAGAATCTGCAAAGTGTGGTTCAGGGTTGCAGGATAAATCCTAAGGGGACTTGACTGACCTTACCAGATACAAAAGATACATTTCTTGGTATATAGGTCTTGCTTTATCTTGGTCTTAAGAATCCAGCAGAAAAGTATAAAAACAAGGTATAAAAAGTGAAGCCATATTAATAGGCTGAGCTGAGAAAGGCTCAAGTCAACAATTGACATTGCCAGTTCTACGGATAATCCACATTATTTTGGACTACTGGACTATATTGGATCAATTTGCTGAATTCATGCACCTTAAATATTTAAATGGCAATGGAATACCCACCTCTGATGAAACTAAACAAATTAAGAGAAAGTAGCTGTATATCTGATAGATATACAGCTACTTTCTCTTAATTCAATGAGAAGAAAGATTTGTACTAATAGTATTTGGACAGGATATCATGTCTGCATCTGTTATTATGAATAACCAATAAGTAGATAACAATATGCAATGTATTATTATTGAAACTGTCCTATTAATCAGTTTTGAAACTGTCTCAGTGCTGTTTCTCAACAAAATTAATAAAAAAACTAATAAGTCATTGATATCTGCTGAACAAAAAAGTGCATATAGTTGACCAAATTTTATGGTTCACATAAATGGGTAGATCACATAAAGATCTTATAATATATTATTACTACTAATAATGATATTAATAAATGTAGGAAGGGGAATTTTGAAAATGATAGATATGGTTTTAGCATGGACTACGACAATGGTTTTTCAGGTTTTTACTTGTCTTAATTTATTATTTTATATTTTGAATGCATTCAGTTTTGTGTATGTCAGTGAACTTTAATGATGAGCTTAAAGCCAAGATATTATAACTCAGAATACTTTCACGGGATATTATTTGTCCTCATGATGGCTAAAGCCTTAGCATACAAGCAGTGTCATAGCTTTTTACTATCCTTATATCTTTTTTATTTGTAAAGAAAGTTAATATTTGAACAAAGAATTTATAAAAATTAATTCAGTAAATACAATACTGCTTATATGACCCCCACAAAGGGGGTCATGTTAAGGGGGGTCAGGTTAAGCTCAAGTTAAGGAAGAAAAAAACACAGATCAGTGACACTTCTAGATAGTGTGTCTATAGTGACAAGTACTTATAAAATAAAAATAGGCAAAGTCACATTTTTTACAGAGGGAGGAAAATATAGCAAGCAAAAAGCAAATAGAGGTT